ATGAAATTCACAATTTTTGAAAAGGCATTCTTATGCATCATAACCATGCACTTAGTTTGTTTAAATAATCTCCAGTAGCAGAGAAGAAGATTCTCAAAGAATCAATGCATTTTCACTATATAATCAATAGAGCCCCGCCCTAATACCAGAACCCCTGACCCTGGGGCCAAGAAATTCACAATTTTTGAAAAGGCATCCTTATGCATCATAACCATGTACTTAGTTTGTTTAAATAATACCCAGGAGCAGAGAAGAAGATTTTCAAAGAATTAAAGCATTTTCACTATATAATCAATAGAGCCCTGCCCTAACACCAGAACCCCTGTCCCAGGGGCCATGGCTTTCACAATTCTGGAAGAGGCCCACCTCCTCATCTTAACTATGTACTTAGTTTATCACCTTAATGCCCAGGAGCAGAAGAGAAGATTTTCAAAGAATTAATGCATTTTCACCATATAGTTGATAGAGACCCGCCCTAACACCAGAACCCCTCACCCTGGGGCCATGAAATTCACAATTTTGGAAGAGGTACTCTTGCTCATCATAACTATGTACTACTTAGTTACTTTATTTAATATCCAGAAGCAGAGAAGAAGATTTTCAAAGAATCAATGCATTTTCACTATATAATCTATAGAGCCCCACCCTAACACCAAAACCCCTGACCCTGGGGCCATGAAATTCACAATTTTTGAAAAGGCACTTTTGCTCATCATAACTATGTACTTAGTTACTTTATTTAATACCCAGGAGCAAAGAAGAAGATTTTCAAAGAATTAATGCATTTTCACTATATAATCTATATAGCCCCACCCTGGGGCCAGAACCCCTGACCCTGGGGCCATGAATTTCACAATTTTGGAAGAGGCACTCTTGCTCATCATAACTATATACTTAGTAACTTTATTTAATACCCAGGAGCAGAGAAGAAGATTTTCAAAGAAATAATGCACTTTCACTATATGATCTATATAGCCCCACCCTGGGGCCAGAACCCCTGACCCTGGGGCCATGAATTTCACAATTTTGGTAGAGGGCTCCATGCTTATTACAATGATGCCAACAGTTTGACTGCTTGATGTCCAGGAGTAAAGAAGAAGATTTTTAAAGATTGCATTAATTTTGGTGGTTTTAGCCCCACCCCTCAGGCCCCAGGGGGGCAGGGATCATGAAATTCACAATTTATGTTCCCCTTTACCCATAGATGCGATATACCAAATTTGGTTGAAATTGGTTGAGCGGTTTTAGAGAAGAAGTTAAAAATGTTCAAAAGTTAACGCACGACGGACGACGCACGACGACGGACAAAAACAGATAGCAATAGGTCACCTGAGTGACTCAGGTGACCTAAAAAGTGAAAAATTAAATTTCAAATATGACAAATTTTCTTTGATATTTCATTTAATGTTAACGTATACTTTATGTAAAATCTCCACAAATCGCAACAATCTCACGAAGATTGAAATTATTCATCTATGAAATAGCATACATTACGGAAGCCCATTTAGGACCTATCAAAAAAAATTTCAAATTCGATATAACGAATTGTAGAATTTGTTAAAACAAATTTAATTCGTTATAACAATTTCTTTGAATTCGTTATAACAAATTTAATCTGTTATAACAAATTTGTTGAATTGGTTTTAACGAATTCAAAAATTTGTTATAACGACTTAAATTCGTTTAAATGAATCCTAAAATTTGTTATAACAAATTTAATTCGTTATAACAAATTCAAAAATTTGTTGTAACGAATTAAATTCATTAAATCAAATTCAACAATCGGGGCCTATAGAAAAATATGTATGAATTCGATATAACGATTTGTCGAATTCATTTTAACGAATTTAAGTCGTTATAACAAATAAGAGAATTCGTTTTAACGAATTTAATTCGTTATAACAAGTTTCAGAATTCGTTATAACGAATTTAATTCGTTTTAACAAATTTTTGAATTCGTTATAACGAGTTCAATAAATTTGTTATAACAGATTAAATTCGTTATAACGAATTCAAACAAACTGTTATAACGAATTAAATTTGTTATAACAAATTCGACAATTCGTTATATCGAATTCAAAAATATTTTTTGATAGGTCCTAAATGGGCTCCGTACATACATACAACAAAAATGATCAATTCTTCATAGGGTGAATTCACCATGCATCGGACACCCTCGCACTTCAAAAGATCTAGCGATATCGCTACCCACCGAATATTATCAAAATGGAGCTTCACATGTAGTATGTGGTTAAAAATATTATTTTTTGACACAATCGTGTGTTATTTATTGAGAAAATATCACTAAAAACGATTTTTTCGAAATAAGTCAAAATTCACCATGGTTAGGACAATATTCACAATGCATCGGACATATGACATTTCGAACCGAAAAAATATCATACCTTAATCTCGGTGCTTTAAAATTAGTAATGCCGAAACATTTTTACGTTTTATTTAAAAATTAACCTTATAGTAAAATTTGAATGACTATTTCGATATTTCTATAGCGTATTAGTGTCGAAGGGAAACTTGACACTCAGGACTATTATTACTTGGGTTCGAACCCAAGAAATCAATTTTTTTTTTTTATCATAGAATGCTTTTTATAATGAAAGAATTTTCCGCCGAAAAGTTTTGTTTTTCGTAATTTCATACCTTTCAATGATAAGAAATTTACTCTAAACACTGAATTCAAATTAAATATGAATTTTATTCATTTGAAGCTACATAGGCATTTTGCACGCCTTGTTCGCCGATCTCCTATATGCAACCCTTTAAGGACGTACAACACACCCACAACCAAAAAATTCCTGTCGTTTAATTTTCGCTATTTTTGTAAATTTTATACATGACTATATATACAATGCGTATGCACATTTTGGACAAAATCGATCGAGTCGTATTTGGACAGGAAGTTCCAAAAGTTACACCCCTTTGGTTGTTCACGCGGAGAATAAATTTTCAATCGGCTAGCTATAAAATCCTTGATTTTCAAAAAAGTCCAACTAGTCTGGCTGTCAAATTTCATCGACTCACTCATTTAACCATAAACCACACAAATAAAGTATTTTTGTAGAGGTACACATCGCCAAAATATTTTTTGAAGAACTTAAACTGAAAAACTATGGTTCATTTAAGCCTTGAAAAATGCGTATTTTTCAATGTTAATATTTTTTTTACAAAAAAACCTATCGACGAGTTTAATTTTGGAAAATGTACTTTTTTTCATGTAACTGGTGACAAAAGTAATCTTGATAATTTTTTGTAATTTTTCAAAACGAGCCGTTTTGAAAAATCACCCCACCCCCCTTTCTCCTTAAGTCACGTTTCTCAAGCGTCTTTCAGACGTGGGGCGAAAACATTGTTAGATCTACAAATACACATGAAAAATTCCAGGCTAGAAAATATATTTTGCTTTAAAAAAAAATTATTAACATTATATATCAGAGTTCTTAAAACTTTTCAGTTCATTGAAATGTAGATGTATAGGCAATTTTTGAAGAAGCCCCCCTCAATATTTTTTGGACGCAGTCATTAGAGCTTGATGAAACATAGGTTACCCTCGAGATATATATTTAATCATTTAAATCCCTGAAGTACCAATTAATTAATTCATCCACACAGATTTAAATTCTGACAACTAGAATAAGAGTTAAACTATCAACTACTAGAATAAAAGTAAAGCTTATTCTCTAAGGATTTTATGTCCACGTGTCCAATATGCTGTCCATATCTACACATGGCTGACATGCATTTAATTTTATACCTGCGTATGAATTCAACTTACATTGAATTTTAATCTTATTTTTCATTAAAAGTGAACGCACAATGTTGAAAATTCAACTCTTCTGTTATGTAAACAGGCTGAATGGTAAATGGAATATATTGTTTCTTATTTATTTCAAACTAAAAGTACCCCCACCCCCCCACCCCCACCCTTTGTATACATCCTTCTGTTGCTTCTATAGATAAAATGTAAATTTCGTATTCGTCTACATTAACTTCAATTTATCAAACTGTAAATTCTCCATCTATGTTTAATTATTCATGTGTCAAAATAATTCATGTACACTGATACATGTATAAAACGTTTTGTTTTGATTCGAGGAAATGCGCACTGATATTGTTGACAGTGGTAACGTTATATCTAGATGGTCGGATAGGGCCAGTTTGTCGCATATAAGATATTCGTGAATTCGGGTCATTTCAGTAAACATTTCTGTTACATTTTCGGTACTTACTTAGTATATATTTTAGTTCTCAGTTCCTGAGTTCATCAAAATTCATTGTGTCTTCATATAACTGTTCGACAAAAAGGAGGAAATAACTCAACTAGGGGAGGGGGGAAATCTCTCACATTTTTAGAGTTGTTCCTCTTTGATCAGTGAACATTTGAAAACGGGTTGTAAAACATTTTTTTTTTCTTAAAAGGAGAACAAAACAGTATATATATGGCTAATTCTTAATTTGAAGATAGGCCCGTGATCTGGTAATGCGAATGTTGTATAGCCAACTGTAACAAAAGAAAGCAATGTACCATAAAAAGATAAAGAATATGTTTTGCTTATATTGATCACGGATACGAGTTTCATATAAAATTAAAGAAATTTAAGACATAGTCTTTCTTTTTTCCCTTTTTATGGAGGAAGGGCGGGTTTTAAATCAAAAGTGCAAATAATCAAGGATACGATTAGGTATTTCTAAAGAAACCACATCTAGCCCCTAATCCCATTTTTTTTTATAATTACGTCGGGATCGATTCGGTCGTCATTTTGACGCTTTATTATAAACGTCAAATTTGACGTCAAGTTAAACGTTTAATTGAAATCGCAAGAGTTATCTCCCCCAGTGTGTTGTACGCCTTTAAGAGAGAATTGCAAGAACTATAAACATTCGTATACAGTTATCACAATTAAGTCACATGTAAAACAGAACTGCAGTATTGATAAAGGAATCAATGTTAAAGAGTGAGTACAACTTCTGTTCAATACATTGTTATGCCGCATATTTTAGGTTCTACACATAGTGATTATATAAATCTGGGTTGTGACCCGGGATGGAATGACCTTGGAAATGGATACTGTTATCAAGTGGTGACATCCAAAGCAGTATCCAGAAAGAATGCCAACTTTGACTGTGGAACCTCCTTCAGTAGTCTGGTCCAAGTTAACAACGCTGCAGACATGGTGATTAGTTATTTACTTACATTTTAAAATGCTTATCAAAAATATTTCGTTACTTTAGCAATTAAAAACTTTGAAGTAAAAGGCCAACTGATTAAAAAAAAATCTCTCAAAGTATTGATGAAACATTCAGTATTCAAAGTCTTTCTCAGTAGGATGAAATTATATAGGAAAATTCAAATTAAGGATAAATAACACAGACTTTTTTTCATTAATCAGAAATATTTTTCATAGATTTATATTCAAACAGTTAACCTGAATAATATTTGCCAGGTAAAGTGGTAGAATTTTGTAAGGTTTTTTCGCAATGTTAAAAATTTTTATAGAATTACATAGAAAACGACACAAAGTCACATATTTAAGCACCAAAGAAAATATACGATTTCTTTCTTTTTTAGGGATTTGTTATCTATGTCATTTCTATTCAAAATCAGTCAAAAAAATGTATATCAATACATGCATCAAATTTTTGTTTGTGTTAATATGTATCCTTAAACAAGTCTCACACTACTTCAATTGTTACTATTTATCAAGCAGGTTACTTTTGAATCAAAATGGTACAGAGTGAAGGAAAAGTTGTGATAACTGCTAGAAATATAATGTCCCTCTTTTTAAAGTTAAGTCTTTAAAAAATAGATCAAAAATATATATTTTGCACTATATGGTTATCATTATCAGGCGTCTCTGAAGACTTTGGTAGCAGGTTACAGCACAGATGGGTTCTGGAGTAGTCTCACAGATCTTAGATTTGACGGAACTCTGACCTCCTCAGGACTTTGGACTTGGGACGGCAACCAACCTCTGGCGAACAACACCATGTAAGTAAATATATATAATAATGTAAGAAATATCTTTTAAAAATGTCTTGTCAAGAACAACAAAGCCACGATTAGTCACATTATATAGAAAAAATCCCGAGATAGTGTAGATCGAAGATGGTTCAAATGATGACCCGTAGGGGTAGGATGGGGCCATAATAGTTGATCAAAGTTTTACACAGGAATACGTATATATAGGAAAATACCTTAAAATCTTCTTTTAAGAACAGAAAAGCCACGATTAGTCATAAGTATAAGAAAACATTCTCAGAAGTGTGGATTCAAGTTTGTTCAAATCGTGAACAAATCTACGTATGGGTGGTTTAATTTACATAGGAATACATAGGGAAAAGAAGAACAGATGGGCAATATAGTGACTCAGGTGAGCGTTGTGGCCCATTGGCCTCTTTTTATGTAATAAGAAACATTACAAATGTTTGGAATAATTACTTAGAATGTCCAGATATGTAGTTTTTCAGTTCTTATCATACTTTGAATTTTGTTTTTACAATTTCACACGTCTAATGAATAAAATACAGGGAATTCTCTTCACACATGAGATTTAAAATTTAATTTAACTATATTGTTTTCAGTCTTCCTATTTGTTTTTTCATTCTTCCTTCTTTCCGAACCCAGATTTAAAAAGAAAACATTGGAAAGGGGAGAGGGGTGTCCGTTTCACTATGTGTAGTGTCAAGGTTCCACATATCCATGCCTCCCTTTTGTATCAGTCATACATGAGGAACTTTCATGTCAATTTTATTTTTTTTAATTATTTTTAATGTCATGAAATTTACTTTTGTTAAATATGCTAGGTTATTCATAATTCATGACCATTAAACAAATTATTTTATGAAACTTTTCTTCGAAATTTCTTTTTGACCCCAAATCCCAGATTTTCGTTGAACCCAATAGAAATACTTACGAAATACAGTAAAATGCAATGTGAACATTGAAAATGTTTTAACCCAAACATCAGTGGAGATTTTTCTAGTTTTGCATTTTCTCTTCATTTCAAAATTTTCTGTATTTTTCCCTATTTTTAATTTTTTCCCTATTTTGCAGTTTTTCTTCAGTTTGAATTTCTTGATCTTAGTTTTCTTTCGATCGTCTTTCTTTCCTCTATTTTTCATTTCTCTATCTTGGTTTACGGAGGCCGGATATTTATGAATTTGTAATTATGTACTGTATATTTTCTTCCACTGAAACATTTGTTCGTTAATGTAATTTACATTTTCCCTCAAGACTGATTTTCTGTCAGACATCATTTTTAAAACGCACACACCTCTGCAATTCTTTTAATATTCGTGAGTGAACATTTTTGACAAAATTCATTCCTGAGGATATGTTTATCTCCGACTCATATTTCATCCCCTTATTGTACATGTATTGCGCTATAATTTCTTTCGGGATTGTGTGAAGTAGGATGTACTATAAGGCTTATCAAAATGGTCATGGACTCATGCCATAAGATTAAAGTTGTTAAAGTTAGGTTTATTGTCGACATAGAAAAGTTGGAGCAAAAGACCCAGAAGTTCTGAAAAATTCAACTCGAAACTATATATAAAAAAAAAATCTTATTTTATCGTCATATGCATAAGTTGAACTATAATTCATTCTGGTTTATATACAGTAACTCAAGATTATAAAGTAATTGTGTAGTGCAATGCCATTATTTGAATACACGACTTCTTCAGACTGTGTCTGTGTCATATGGTAAACCTTCCGCCTAGTAATCCTTCCCTTGGAATTTTTATAGTAAAGCTCCCCCTCGGAAAAATAGCAATATTACAAACCTTCCTCCTGCATACTTTACTCTGTAGTACATTTCCCTCGCGGAAAAGTTTTACTATGATATATCTGGAGATAACGAACAGCATTCAAGCTCAAAAGTCCATTTAAACAGTAAAAATCAGGAGCAGAGCAAACATCACAGTTGTGATCAGGTGTCATGGAGAAGTTAGCATCCCCTGTCGACCGGTCACACCCGCCGTGTGCTGCTTGTCATAATTGGGGTATAACGGAAAAATCCGTAGACAATTCAGTGTGTAAATAATGGCCTAACAATTAGTTTGAGAAACATCAGTCAGCAGATGACTTAAGGATAGATTGTATTAAAATTTTGCTGACAAGGTCATTGTATCGACCATAGATATTACGAAATGATTACTTTAAACGAGACTGTTGATATTCTTGTTTCATCAACTTGTTTGTCAAAAAATTGTTCATATCATGTGCGAGCGTATCAAATCAACTGAGAGATATAAACCACGTATGAAGGTGATAATGGTATATTGCTGCAGAAGGGAATATGGCGATTGAAAAGTTAAAGTCATCACGTTTAGAATAAAATTTAGTGGTTAGGTAACCGTTAAATTATTTTTCGAAAACCATCTCCCTTGATAATTTGCTATATAGTAAACTATTCTCCTTCATCCGGATAATTATTTATAATTTGGAAGTTAGTACATTCATTTAATGCAATTCTATCCGAAATTTCTAAATTAAGTTCGGGTTAATTGTTGTGAGCCTGGTAGTCTATGTCTGTCGCACTACCTTCTTCCTCAAATTCCTCTCACAATTTAAGCAATAGCCAATTCATGGTTTGGATATGATCGTTGGTTTTCTGTAGATGTGCAATAAGGTTTTGGAGTTTTCATATTCACAATCGAGTCCATTCAGGGTGGAAAACGACAGTTTTCTACAATTACCTGGTTTCAGAACTCCATTTACCGTATATCTTAAGTACTAGCCAATGTGTTTTTAGGACTTTGATTGGTGGTGTCCTGTAGGTGTGCAATAAGGTTACAGAATTTTCATTTTCATCCAGGAGGCCAGAAATTTAGAATGCCATTTTTTTTACTCAAAATCCATCTTCCAAAACACCTTTTTTTTAACTAAATGCGTGCTTCGTTGAATTCTTTAATATCAGACTGGTAATGAATTTATATTGAAATGAGAAGCCCATAAGCAACATGCTCACCTGTGCTTTTTTTCATTGCACAATTTGACATATGTACATGTAAATTATAGAATTGAAAAATTATTGTGGGTTTTTCACTTGCTACTCGGGGAAAAGAAGACTACATATGGAGGCAAACAAATACATGCGGGTATTACTGTCCAGAAATAGCATCTAGTTATAAATTATTTCCAAAGCTGCGTAATTTTTTCCCCCAATTTTATGAGTAATGAAATAACTGTCTTGGTTTTATAAATTGGGTATTGAGATTTGTTAGTAATGTATTAAAAATGCACATTTTACAAAAACCTTAAAGAAATTATTTTACAGGCCTTATTTTCCACAGGATTCATAAAATCCGTTTTAGATTTACTTTGCGGAAGAAATCCAGTGGAAAGGTTGGCCATATAATAAATCTTCCAAGAGGACACTTTTCTATGTTGGAAGGTTTACTATATGACACCTGTAATAAAACCTTAAAAACGACTTTCAAAGTTATTAAAGATCTAATTCAAAAATAACACTTAAAGTTACATGCTCATGTACTCAAGGAAAATTACTTGCAAGATTTAAAATTTCATTGCGGTTACATAGAACTTGGGAACATTACCCGACAAACAACCCAAAGGACACATGTGGGGCCATCAACATACAAGCCAAAATGACCAATTGGCAGTGCACAAGAAAGATGGGGTTCATATGCGAGCTGGATCAAACACAAGGTATTTGATGGTCTGATTGATCAGTCCTTTTTCTACTTATTAGTAGTTATATGTTGTGCTTACTGACTCAGGGATTTCTGGTATATATGTGTATTCATTAACATAGTTGAAACTGGATACAGGTTTTGGAGACATTGTATATTCTGTAGAAGGATAACGTGACCTACAATGTATTTCAGTAACGCATTTGTACTTTAAAAGGGAGTACCCCGAACATTGGTACAGTTGCAAAGAAAAATACATTATTTATTGCTTAAGTATTGTATAGATTTTTAATACGTTGTGAATCTGTTTGAAAGCAAAATTGACAACAATACTTTTGTTTACGACGTCTCTTTTTTTTCACGTTCCTTACTGCCTTCGTTCAAGTGACAAAAAAATTTCATTAAGTTTCATCTATTTTCCATTATAATTCTCCATGTCATTTCGTGTACACCCCCCCTCCCCATTTTATGCATTTCTTGAAAAAACAATTCCTTCGTTTTCACAAACCTCTTATTTCCTGACACATTGTTCTTCATAGATACCGGGTGTCCATTTGGTTGGATGATAACTGACAATTCGTGCTACTACTTTAGTAACTATAGCGATCCGACACAGATATTGACCTGGACTCAAGCCAAACAATGGTGCGCTAGCAAGACCTTTCCCGGTGGTTTAACAGCCCAGCTGGTGACACTGGATAACCTTAACGATGGTGTGAGTACCTTAACTGCGCAAAGACTCTTTTGTTTATGATGGATTCTGCTGGATGACTTCAAATATGAAATGTGTTTTTATCTTATTCATACCAATTGAATTTTTGTAAAAGGTGATGTCACCATGTCCATTTGCTTCTAAATATGACCATGGTTTATTAGGTCACCAATTGCATTTTAAAATCACTTCTATATATAATCTGTCGCGCATTTTTCTCTTTCGAAATATACGGGAAAAGATTCTGAAGGTGTTATAAAATGTAGGTTTTGACAATTTTCATCCCTCCTCCACCTTCTTTTATGGGAATAAAGACACTTGTAGTCTGGCATGCTCTATTAAAAGCTGTTACTTTTGTTACAAGCCGTTACATCTGACTCTTTCTGTTTGCATTTTCAATATGTATTGTCTTACCTTTTTAGACATATATTCTCGGTGAAATGCCAGTTGTTGGAGCCACAGACAGGTTTTTCTGGACGGGTCTGACCAAACAGGCCACTGGCTGGGGCTGGTTCAACGGAGATACTTATTTACCACAATACGTGTACGTATAACAAACTACCTTTTTGCTGATTTTTCATTGTTTTGAAATTTTATAAGTATGTGTTTGAGTATGTACATGTATGTGTGTTTGTGTTTGTCTTTGAAGGATTGTGTTTAAATCATTCATAAGATACTAGTTATTTCAGGAAATAATTTCATCCGTAATAAACTTTATATTTTTTATGTAAAATTACTTAATTTGGGTTGACCTCTTTTTTAAGCTATTAATGATTTTTTCTATCTCAGAAACTGGGCGTCAGAACCAGACCACATCAACAATAATGAGGACTGTGCAATATTAAAAGTAGATGGAACCTTTTCCGATCAAGATTGCAGTAAAAGGTTTAACTATATCTGTTACAAGGAATCCAAAAGTGGTGAGTTGTTTTCTCTAAAATATTCATCGTAAAACATTTATTTTCTATAAAAATTTACGAATCAACATACCTTGAAGCTAATGAAAAAAATAAGCCACGTTTAAAGTTCTTATATCTGAAAGAAAACCTTTAATTTTTTTTACCTTCCATACAGTGCACACCGAATATTACATGGGATGTGGAGGGTGGGTGAGAGCCAACAAGAAATGTTACCAATTTTATGACAAACCTGCGTCCACATATTCACAGGCCAGATCTACCTGTCTACAGCTGGGAGGCGATCTCATGAAGATTGACACAATGGATGACAGGGTAATGTGATTGTCTCTCCTTTAGTACCTGTACGAGACAAAAATAGAATTCTTTTCAAGATCTTTTTCAAAGTTTGCTATCTATTATGATAGAGGATTTATTGTTGACTTATGAAATATCGACATGTAATTATAATCTTTGCCATGCAGTATTGGCTAGAACAGCAGATGGTTATGAATGGTCACTACGCTATGTACTTTACTGGACTGAATGATCAGGCTAAGGAAGGTGACTACAGGTGGGCTGATGGCACTCCCTACAATGTATCTGTCGTGTAAGTATTATATCACACTGTGTACAAGTCTTCCTGTAAGAGATCTTTTATAAAAGGAATTCACACATATATTGAAATATCCACATATAACATTGTTGTTCTCGCAAATCGTATCCTAGCAGTGATATCAAACATGAAACTGAGTTTTTTAGATAAAGCATTTAATCTAGTTTTTGCCCTGTATTCTTTAATTGCTGTCCATAAAAACTGCATTTCTGACAAGAAAAGTTTTATTACCTTCCATAAATTTATAATACACGTATACAACAAATCAACACTGATTCATAAATTTATGTATCCCATATTTTATATTCAAAGCCTACATAAAAACTGCATATATCCATGTTTCATTCAGAAACTGGAACCAGGAACCCAATGCATGGAACGGAAACGAAGACTGTGCAGCGATTACCACAGATTACAACTGGAACGATGAAGACTGCACAGTATCCTTCCAGTATATCTGTGAATACCCAAATCTAAATCAAGGTAAATGACAATCTCAGTACACAATCTTATTTGTATTTTTTGTTTTTGTTTTGTTTTGTATTTGTTTTGAGGAAAGACCCTCTCTGGAGCTAATATAGTGATAAATCACCATTTTTAACAATAATCTGTCTCACATTTTGACAATTACGGTGTCCTGATTTTGCTTGAATTTCGTTTTTTTTTAATCATTTTAATTTTTTTTTTGGTTAGAAATGTCATTGTCATAATTGCAAAAGAAGTATATTTTTTTAACAGAGAGTTATCTCCCTTAAATTCAAATTTGCCATTTATGTATCTTTTCCATTATTAGGTGACTGCCCTCCTGGATGGAAGCAGAGAGATGATAATTATGAGTGCTACTATTTCTCTGCCGCAAATGACTCCAGAAACTGGTTTGAGGCAAAGACTCAGTGCTACAGCATGACGACAGATGTCCATCAGCCTGCTAAATTAGTGGCTGTCAACGATCAGGAAGAAATGGTAGGCGTATTCTCTCGAGTGCTCACCAAAAGTCCTTATCCCTTTAACAGAAATATTTGCGAGAACTTCCTAGCCCCCACTCTGTTGAACAGGCATGGTATTCCAGTGTTCATAACAAGTTGTTTTCTTCTACTTCTTGTCAAACTTTTTATCATTCTAGCAAAACACGCATGCTTGAGAAAAGGATATCCCCTCGCCCACATCAAGTATAGACCTCCTGATACACCAACACTACTCTTTTTCTAGAGTGTTCATATAAAGTGTAATACCAAAAATTACATCTGTATACATACAAATTACATACAGATATGTTTTTGGGGGGGAGGGTATGTGTGTGGTGGTGGGGGTGTAATTTTTCAAATTTATTCTGGAAATATGACATACAAGTTAAAGATAACCATCAAAAGAATTCTTTAGAGTCTGGAGTGGAGAGGCATTCTTTTCCCAAGTAACTAATAGCAGCATTGCTTTGAGATCTTGCTAATACTGTCCACATCTTTCTGCTTTATACATTATTCATTTCCCTTCATTTTTAACTTGTATCATGATAAACACACCATTCTACACGCACAATTTATTGTCATATTCATACATTAAGATATAAATGGTTCGTGTCATATGTGTAATATCTGCCATTAGAAGTATTAACAAAAGAAATATATAAATCTTATTCTGTGTAAAACTTAAGGGTATGCTGTTAAGCAACTTTCTTTTGCGACTTTTGTCCAACCATCGCGAGTTTGGCAAGTTAATACAATGAGAAAATTGTGGCGTATATGTTCAAACACCAAAATCGCAAAAGATAGTAGTCGTGAAAGAATATTAGTATGTAGTAAACATGTACAAGAGTCTATCATACAATGTGACTTTGCAGTATATGATTTACAGCAATGGCTTCAAACCACATTACCAACTGTACCAACTGCCACTAGCGGTAGAATGCAGTTCTGGACGGGACTGAATGACAAAAATGTAGAGGGTGTTTGGACATATCCAGACAAGACCGACAACCCACCCAATAATGTGGTCATGTGAGTATCGTGCAAAGTTTGTAAATTTATACGTATGATTAATATACATGCTGTATATTTATGCTCTGTAGAGTGTCTTTATTTTAATGAACTAAAGAAATTAGAGATATTGTATAGTATAATTTTGTACCAGAACATAACTAGCTACATTTTTTTACCTGGTCAGGAAAAAAATCCTTGAAAAGAGACTTAAAACAGGATTTTAACAGCTGAAACTCGTGAAGAATCTTTAAAATATTACTTTTTACAATCACCTACATAAATGGCTGAATAAATGTATAACTATTTAGAAATTGGCGCGGAGAGCCATCAGATCCGGATGGCACTAAAGACTGCACCTGGTTAGGGTTTGGAGGAAGATACATTACTTTAAACTGTAACCAAAAAATAGGGTTTATCTGCTCAAAATACGCTCAGGGTAAGTAAAGCAATTAGAATATACCTTTCTTCTGCAGCTTAATTTTAACCCTGGTCTCGCAAAATTTAAGTGAAAGGTTCCCATTCCTTTATGAAAGCAAAAGAAATGATTAATTCAAATCTTGGAAGCTTCCATTTTCTATATACAGTGAAACTTGTCTAATCCGGATGTTGTATAATCCAAAATCTTGCCTAATATGATGGGTACTTTAAGTCCTTTTCAGTAAATTCATTTGTTTAAAATGTTGTCTAATCCGGAATATTGTCTAATCCGGCCAATTTCTTTGGAACGAGTGGTATCCGGATTAGACAAGTTTTACTGTACATAAAAACTCTCCACGTATGTGAAATCACGGTAGACTTTTGTAGTGAAATTTACAAAACTTAGAAGTTTAAGGAGAGGCTCAAGGGCCTTAACGTCGCAATTTAGGTAGAGACACCCTTGCTCATCATAACCATCAACTTAGTATGTCTACAAAATTTTCAGAAGCAGAGAACATTTTCGAAGAAAAAAAAAATTATTTTCACTTTATTAAGATCAATAGAGCCCCGCCCTGACACCAAAATCCCTGACCCTGCATGAGTCATGAATTTCATTATTTTATTAGAGGCACCCTTGCTTATCATTACCATGGACTTAGTTTGTATACAAAATACTCAGAATCAAGAAAAGAATATTTAAAAGTAATTAATGCCTTTTCACTATACATGTATAATCAACAGAGTCCAATCCCTACACGAGAACCCTTGACCCTGGTGTCATGAATTTCACGAGAGGAACCCTTGCTTATAATATCCCCGCACTTATTTTGTCTGCTTAATATACAGGGAAAAAGAACTAATGGTTAGTGACCCAACCTAGCACCTGAACCCCTGGCCCAGTGGCCATGAATTTCACAGTTTTTGCAGAGGGCTCAATGCTCCTTACAATGTTAACAGTTTGACTGCTTGATGTCCAGGAGTAAAGAAGAAGGTTTTTTGAAGCATTTGCATTGATTTTGATTTTGACATTACCCCTCAGGCCCCAATGGGACAAGAACCATGACCTTTGGTCATAAATGTTATATATCAGAATTGGTTGATATTGGTTTTGCGGTTCCGGAGAAGAAACTGAAAATGATCACATGTTACTGGACTACTGACGTCTGACGACGCACGACGATGGACGAAAATAGATCGCAATAGGTCACCTACTGAGTGACTCAGGTGACCTAAAAATGTATATTTAATTTTTTCTCATTAAATACAACAATTATTTTTCTTCTTTATAGGTTTTGGTGCAGGTGCTGGGTTTATTCGTCCATCTTTTGCAGTTGTCATCAGCCTTCTAGCAACTTTTTTTGCCTTTTGTCGATGACAAAACAATCAAGTTAAAAACCTCTGCGCACATAAATGCATATACTCATGTCGACAAAACTTGTGTGTCTTTCAAGTTTCCACATTAAACATATAAGTGTCTAGAAATGTGTGTTTGTGTCAATACATGTCCTGGTCATTAGATATGTAGATAATCATTTATTCAATTTATTATTATAATTTAGTTTGTGTGTTGGGGGAGAGGTGGTAAAACTAATTTGCTTTAGTTTTAAATTTTGATAAATACTGTGATTGATAAACTAAGTCATAATTTAGCATGCTTGTGGCCTAGATTTCTTTGACAATTTTTTGTGTTTTTGTACTTAATTAAATGAATAATAAATCATTACAATAAAATTGTAATCTTCTGCTAGATACCAGTACATATTATTACTGTGTTTACTGTTGTTTAAATGACTGTTATTTCTAAAGAAAATCGGCCTTTAGGAAGGGTCTTTTCAGTGGAATCGAAAGGAACGAAGCCTTCAACATCTAAATATTCAACAAATCCTCTTTTATTAAGATCGTTCAAGTTTTCTTCTACTAACTATGTGAAACATTTATTAAATACTGTAAACCATATTGTGAATCATTAAATTGGAGTATGTATTCCCAAAACGACTTTCCTGACTTTTTTCTTACCGAGTGACTTTCACTCACTCACAATCTCATTTCTGGCATAAACTGAATACTGAGGATATAGGACATCGTTCTAAGCCATGGGATTTCTGTCCATTCTTTTACCACAAAATCCGTGACTTGCAACGATGAAGATAGGACTGTGCTCCGTTTGATGATCTTCCAAGACACAATACATAAATGAGTGAAAATGCTCATTGATTGTAAATCACAGGCAATAAATATGGTACATAGTACAAAGCATATGCATGTACACACCAATATAAATGTGCTAATCGCAAACAATATAAAACAGAATAGGATAATCAAAGTTGTGTTGTATACCTACTGATACATCAATGCCGTTGTTCTTTCTGCTATCATTTCAGTGGAATAAGTGACATATGTCTTAGTAACCAACATATAACCAGACTTAAACCCGCACGTAAGAGGGCTGTTCGGAAATCATTGAAACATTTACAATGCAAATTTTGCAAAATTAAAGATTCTGTTTAAAATTGCCAGTGTAAATATATTTTACTACATTCCTTTTAAAAGATTATAACCATTTTCAATATAATGTTAATAAAAAAGGTATAAACAAAATTTAAATTTTGGTCTTAATCGTAAGTTCTATTGTAAATCGGGCCCCAGGTCTTCCAACAATCTGTCGGAATTATACCATGAGTACCAATTAACTGCGCCCCGTTATTAGCAGACCTATGTTTGTATTCATATGAAGCAGAATTTATTCAAAATCTTATACATGAGAAGAAGAAAACGCTTGCTGTGGCCTTCAACATTTAGTTATATCGATGACGTATTTTTAATTAACAATAGTTACTTCCATTCATATGTTGACTCGATATATCCCAGTGAGCTTAAAATAAAAGATGCCACAAAGTTTGATATTTCATATTTAGATATTTTACTAGAAAAATACGTTAATGGAAACCTAACAACCACGTTTTATGATAAACGCGATGACTTCAACTTTTCTATCGTCAACTTCCCTTACTCATGTAACAATATACCCTTATCACCTGCATATGGGGTTTATGTCTCTCAGCTGATTCGATATGCAATTAAGAGCATGCTCTATGTACGAACAGTTTCTAAAACGAACTTAATTCTTAATGTTTGTCAAACGTGTGTGCCAATTTTCACCAAAGGGCGTTCATTAGAAAAATGAATAAATACAATGCTTGAATAATTTCAGAGAAGCCCTCGTAAGTGTTTGGCTCTAAATGTACTCTCCAATGTACATGGGTAACTAATGAAGAAAACAAAATAGTCATAAATATGTGAGTATGAAATGTAGCATAAAATGCATTAAATATTCGGCCCTTAATTGCCTTCTTGGATGAAAAAGAAAATTCCAAAACTTTTTGAATAATTATGTACAGGAAACCACCAATTACATTCCAAAGGATGATTTGGCTTCTGCTTGAAATTAAAGAGTTCTGGAAACTCTTATTTTGTGGGTAAAAAACTTTTTCGGCCCTAATTAGCCTCCTGGGTTTAAATGAAAATTTCGAAGTCTTATTGCACATCTACAGGACACCATCAATCATATACCAAATAATGATTTGGTTACTACTTAAATTTATATATAAAAACCTTTGTCTTTCAAATACACAATAAAATGCTTATTCTTATTTAGGTGTATTCTGTTGTGATTAACATGAATGTTAAACGATGCCAAGAACGTATAATAAGTGTAGAATATAATTTCTATCATCAATTGCTATTCCGATTTTTAAAAAAAATCCCATCACATTCCTTCCTCTTTACACAAGATCATATTTTTGTCGATGTTTTATTTTCTTGACATCAATGAATGATCTGAACGTTGTTTTCCAACAATTATTTTTATTAAAGTTCTTAAACGTTTAGCCACCTGTCCCTTTGCGGCACTCCGTCAATTGGACAGGTTCTACTTATTAACCACTATCAGTGATAATGAATTCATTTCCTCTACCTGTTTCGAATTTTAATAGTCAATTAAAGATATGAATGTGTCTATAATCTTTTAGAGCCTGTATATTAAAAAAGTCAATTGCAAAAACGTGGTTAAGATGTTAAAATGTCGGAAGAAATAAATTTATTTCAATAACACCGAAAAGTTGGTTTACATATTTTGACGGCTAGAGAAGTCTCTGGCGACAGCGGGTTCTTTTTATGGAAAGAGTGTGATCAGTAAAAATTTAAATTGAAAAAAATGGCAATAAACAGTAAGGATCTTAAAGGTTGCAAGTCCTTTAGATACTTTTGATACCAAATGCTTGCCTTTACGAAAATCGTTTTGTTCATAGATAAGTTGTGAAGGAAAAAACTGTTTCACGAAAAGAAATCGTTCATCACTTATAAACCATTGGATTTTTATTCAGATATTAAAAATGATCATTAGAGACTATAAGTTTTCTTGAATTACCTGTCTTGAATGTTATTGTCTGTCACTCTTTTGATAATAAGTAAAAAAAAAAAAACAATGAAAAAAGCAATCGTTTTCTCCTGGTAAAATCGAACACGTCCGTAAGTGCGAGACGTACAATAATTTTTTTTCATTTAAAAAAATCACGTGAAGTGGAAATAAAATCTCCCTAAAGTCACAGCCATTACAGTCCAAACTCGTAAATATGTACCTTTATCCGTTTTGAAACATGCAGATCAATGTAATATTTCCAATAGTTACTTCCATTCACATGTTGACTTGCTATATCCAAGTGAACTCAAAATAAAAGACACTACAGTCTGCCACATCTGTTTCATATCTGGGTGTTTTACTGACTACAGATGATAAGGGCAAACTAACAATTAAATTCTATGACAAACGAGATGGATTCAGCTTTTCCATCGTAAATATTCCTTATTTATGAAGTAATATTCCAACATCACCTACTCATGGTGTTTATGTACATGCTCTGAGTTCGATCAATTTTTTAACCGAGTTAGGTTACTGACAAATAATTTGATGTTACAGGGATTTCGGGAAGCTACTTTAAAGTCAGTATTTTGTAAATTCTATGGATGTGATAATGACCTTATTAGTAAATTTACCTATAATTGGGTTGTATTTTGACTGATATATTTAATTATAATTGTTAGGCTTTTGTTTTTAGACTTAATTTGACTATGGATTAATCCGTCCACCTAATCAAATACATAGCGCTCACGGCGGATGTGAACTGTCGACAGGAGATGTTATGCCTCCTAGGCACCTGATCCCACCTCTGGATTTCCACAGATCCGTGTTTTATGCCCTGTTCACAGATTTGTATCGTTGGTAGGTTTTTGAGATCAAGAACTGTTTATTATCTTCACTGATTTCATTCCATATAATTTATGTAAATGGTGAAAATAATGGACCATGATCAAACTAATAAATCCAGTAAACAAAACGAATCGTGAACAGGGCAAAAACACACCTGAAAACACCAGAGTTAAGATCATGTGCCTAGGAGGAGAAAGCATCCCCTGTCTACCGGTCACACCGGCCGTGAGCCTTATGCATTGATTAGGTAGATGGATATATCCGTAGTAAGTGAATAGCAGTTTAAAGGTTGAATTTTTTTTAATAATTATCTTAATGTATATATTTGGATATTATACTAGAATATGACGTTAATGGTAACCTAACAAACAAAACTTTATGATAAACGTGATGACTTCAACTTTTCTATCGCCAACTCCCCTTATTTATGTGGCAATATGTATAATATGTATATGGGGTTTATATCTCCCAGTTGATTCGATGCGCAAGAACATGCTCTACGTACGAACAATTTCAAAAAACAAGACAAGCTATTGACAAACAAGTTGATGAAACAAAATTATCAAGAGTCTCGTTTAAAATCATCATTTTGCAAGTTCCATGGCCGTAATACAATGAACTTGTCAGCAGATATAGTCTAAAAGTCGAATGCTGTTTTTCATGCTAATTGTTAGGTCATTATTTACATACTGAATTGTTAACAGATTTTTCCGTTTGCCCGATCATGACAATGAGCACACGGCGGATGTAACCGGTCGACAGGGGACGCTTACACCTCCATGTTTTTTCTAGGAGTTCGTGTCTGCTCTGCTCCCGGTTTGTATTGTTTAAATGAACATTTGAGCTTGATTACTGTTCGTTATCTCCACATTTCATACATTCTTCACTAATTAATTTCAAAATAATAAATAACAAGAATTTTTTATGAAATTTTAAAATCAAAGGATCTCTATTATGTAGAAAAGAGCAAAATAAATAAATAAATACATCAACTCCTTCTGCATTCATCAACATGCATTCACCTAAATGTATCGATGATTATCAAAGAAAATGTCATTAAAACAAACAAGTTTCAAAAGTCAGAGTGTTAAGTAAGTTATTAATAAAGTAGTTCTTTGAGAAAGGATCTTCAATTCAATCTTTAGCTTATCGTCAAAGCAACCACATTCCAATTTTTAGGTTAATTTCGAAATGATATACAACCGTTGTGTTCCTATGGGAAATTATTCAGGATTTTTTTCACCCTGTGATATTTTTGTCCAACCACAAGTTTTCGCCCTGTTTAAATCAGAGTTTACACAATTGTGTTTTAAGAAATGTAATGCACTGTTTTAGATTAGCCACGTTTTAGATTTGTCGACTTCCACTACGTTCGAATCAGGCGAAAAAAAATACTAACGAAATTATCAGTTTTCACGTAGTATACGCATGTGGATTAAAGTATTCCTTGATTACTTTATGGAAAAAAAACATAAATAATTTTATTGGTAAATAACAATGTTTATTGGTAAATAACAATGATTGTCGAATTCAACAAATGAAAATAAGCTCAGCAAAAATACTTAAGCATTCATTCTATTTGATTAATGTATACTGTATAACAATTTTCTCTCATCAGGCTAGCCTGTATGTACTGCACTCGCTTCTTTAAGAACAAATAATTCAGAATGAACACAGCAGTGTAAAAACATAGGACGAAACTAACATTGTATTGCAATATATATTCCTCACAGAGGAAACAGCAAGTGATTGTTATTCATTGAAGAGGGGATTTCGGGTCCAGGTGCAGACACTTCCCATGGTCTACGTGGGACTGGAAAGCGGTGTCGACGTGGTGGGGGTCGTCTTGATGGACGATGTAACCCTCTGTTGCAACTCCCACGAAAAGCAGGGTGAATATGGCTACAAGGATCAACATCGTGGAATGAATGGTGGTTAAAGATATTTGGTGGTGGAGGACTTTGGAGAAAAGATGAATCGAAGAATGAGGAGGAGGAAGCAGCTGCTGTGGCGGATCCATCGGGAAATATGCTCTGAATAACACTGGATACATCGTTATTATTGGAACTTGTACTACTGCTGATACTTGATGAACCACCAAATCCACCAAACCATTTAGGGATTGTAATCATTTGAGCATTACCAGTTAATGGTTTAAAAGAAAATCCAGGTTGTACAACTCTGTCTGTGGCTGTAGCAGAGGAAGAAGCCGTTGCAGAACCGCCGGAAGTTGTGACGGCTGCTGCTACCGCTGCTGCACTTCCTCCAAAATCAGTTGTCGATGCAGCTGCTGAACTTGCTACATTTCCTGAAGTTGCGGAAGCCGCGGCAGATGCCGTTCCACTTTGAGTGGAAGAGGCTGCAGACGCACTTGATCCTGATATTTCTGGAACTCCACCTTCTAAAATTTTACGACATTCTTGCTCCGGTTTAAAAACAAGGCAAACCAAGTAAAAATCCTCTGGGTCAGATAATACGTATCCGACTAAAACCGAGAGAATTATCCACAGCTTCATTTTAACTTCTTGCTTTATGAACTATGTAAGAAATGAAAGAACCCTTAAATTCCTTTCCGAATTGTCATATTTCAATAAAACAATATCAAGGAGGAATAAATCCATCATATTTTTTCCGTACGAGTTGAAATTCAGTATTACACAGGAGAGTGTAGTGGTTTAAGGCGTTTGCTTAGTTAAATTCAATTCTAGAAAGGGCTTTTAATTCTACTGATATAATTTTACACAAATCCATTTTTATTAAATCAGGGACTTACGTAGTACTGGAAGATTATCATATCTAATTTATCTAGTACCTTCCATTCTTTGTTGTCTTTTTAGTGTAATGCCTCCTCCAATAAAATTCATGGTCCAAAGCTAGCTTTTGTTACATGCTTGTTGTTTGGTACATATTTTTTTTCTTTTTTGGTTTATTTGTTTAATTTACAATGTTTCTTACCTTCAATTAGTAAAGTCCTCATGCAAAAATAATTTCAGAAGCTCTGTGTTTTCTGATAGTCATATCAGCTCTCTTTATATGTTTTAATATAGTCATAGAGGTCAAACTAATCTTTTGATTGGCCAAATATGGAAACAAAAGCAGTAAATTAAAGGATTTAAATCAAAAAATATATTTATGTTGTCAAACGATTATGTGACAAACATTTATTATCAGGGTAAATAAACAGGGAATGTTACTCCGACCCTTATTAATATATCTGCTGACCAAAAATAGATAAATGTTCATTTTGAAGTCATGCATAAACTGCTCAGTTACTAATATACTTCCTTCTTGTGCTTCCTGAATACTGATATTTAATGCCCAACCAATGGTTGAATAAGGTTGCCAACAGGTTAACATCAGCTGATACAATATTATCCTGAAGCCCATTAAGTTCCTGAAAAGAAGAAATAATGAATCAGTCGCAATTTAAACATTTAGCAGCTGGTTGATATATATGCATTGCAAAATAAGCAGTGTTTTAGTCTTCTTATGGTGATGTTCCTATGTTTCAATTTGCATATATAGGTACATTGTAGTTGTATACAATTTTGATCCATTAATATAATGTTGATTTCACTCCCGGTAGGTAAGCCTATGTTGGATAAGTTATACGTGTACATGTACAATATGTTGAGTTGCTGCATGCAAAAACATTGTTATGATTCATTTTAAAGATGAAAAACAAACTCATTAGCCGATTTATGGATAGAGACTATCAAAAAGGGGTCCCTTTGTGTAAATAACTCGATTGCACCACAGATATTCTTAAAATTCTGGAGTCACCTAACACTTATATGAGACTTAAATGTCTCTTTTCATGCAGGGATAATGGTTGATTAGGATTGCGGGAGGATGAGTACATTTCCACCCTCGACTGGGTTGGGGGGGGGGGGTCGATTATCAAATGTTATTTTCTCTATCGCCTTTAGGATTTTTATCTCAGAATTTTTTTCTGATTTTTCTTCTTTCCTATAAGCAGAACTGTCTATAATGTTCCACCAGTTAAGAAATTCACTTTAAATGGCAAGTGCGAATAAAAAAACAATATTTCATTTATGGGATATCATTAAAAAAAACTTACGTTTCTGAAATTTCCTTCTCAATCAATGCATTATTAATCTTTAAATATTGTGCTCTTTCCCAGATTATATTGTGAAGCTTTGTTTCGAAGTCCAATTCATGCCGATTTCTCCTACGAACACTTTCAGCACTTCATTGCAAATGGTAAATGTCTATAGATTTGTAGGCTCCGTTGATATAAAATATAATTGATAAATACAATTAAAAGATTCGTATTTAATCATTCTTTTTTGTGTTCAGAATTTGGCGGAAATGTTTATTTTCTACTGCTGTGTCATGGAATTTATTCAAATTACATCCATGAAGCATTGATTTTGTGGAGGGTATCTGATGAATTTCAGTGAGGATAGGATAAGAATTGGAACAGGGGCCCCTTTCGAATAGAGGAGGAAACAAAAACGCAAAAGTACACAATTACTATTCATAAAGATATATCACTTTCAATAATTATACAATTTATGAAAATTATGTCAAATAGCTTCTAACAGTTAAATTAGTCGTAAAAACATGTACTAAGCATTAAGTCTCTTGAGAACATGTAATAACATAAAGTTTGGTTAAGTGACTTTATTTTCTATAATTTTGCAAATTTGTGACTGTGTGATCTAAGTCGAGAATGTGGTTGATTTAAATATCAGAAAATAACTTTCTAGGAAAAATATTTGTGCATCGTGCATTGAAGGGGCATATTGGTGCAAACAATTCATGAATATCTATCACAGAAAGACCTCCAATAACCAAACATAAACTTGGTGAAAGACAAAAATGTTTTAAATTCGAATCATATCAGATTTTTTTTTTGGTCTTTAATCGGTGTTCTGCATATGCCATGCACTAAATTAAAAGTTTTTTTTTTCATATGGATAAAATATTATGTAAACCAATTTTGAATATGATGGATCTTTTAACTCCAGGAGTTTCCTAATCTTTGTTTGTCCCTGACAAGGAGGGGATGATATAAATGTGCAGTAAAAATAGCTTTTTTATTCCTGGCAGGCAAAACTTGATATGATTTACGAAAAAATGTTTGGGAAAAAAATGGAATTGTTGACTTGCAGAATGTCAAGTTTTCAGAGAGATCTAGTGATTAAGTTGGGGACATGGTGAAGAAAGCTTGTAAAATTTCAAAGATTATTAAAGAGAAAACTCTTTAACCTGTCCAGAATCAGATATCATTAATAAAGATGGGCAAAAAACGTATTTAAGTGATATATTTTGTAATTTTGTAATCATGTGACTATGTGATGAAATATGTGGAGAAAACGAACAGTATTCGAGCTCAAAAGTCCATTAAACATTACAAAATAGGAGCAGAGCAAACACGGACCTCTAAGACATCAGAGGTGGGATCCGGTGCCATGGAGGAGTGAACATCCCCTGCTGACCGGTCACACCCGTCGTGTGCTCCATGTCATGATCGGAAAATAACGGAAAAATCCGTAGACAGTTCAGTGTATAAATAATGGCCTAACAATGAGTATGAAAAACGTCAGTGATCTAAGCCAAAATTGTTGTTGATTTAATTACCAGGAATAACTTATTCATGAAAATACTTCTGCATCATGGATTAAAAATAGGGGTATTGGTATAGAAGTACATGAATAATTGTTATCGAAAAACTTCTTAAGACCACATACCACCTCCCATTTACGAATATAGGGTATAAACTTGCTGAATAACTTTGTTATTCTGTCGCATAAAAATTCGATTCATACCAGAGTGTATTTCTTTAAATGGTGTTCTGCATATGCCACGCAAAAGTTTGATTCTACTATTAGTTAGCAATCTCTACGAGACAAAAATGTCAATTACCCGTCGCAATTTTTTTCTTTCTAAACATCAAGAAAGGTATGGAATAGATTATCTATAAGGTAAACCATAAAAACGACGAGAAGGGTATTGAGGTATCGTATCTCCTAACAATACTGAGCGACCCACTCACATCTGCCACCTTCATTCTAATTCAGAAGAAAATAGTAAAATTTTATTTCATATGATGGAATACAACATAAACTTCTTTCCAGTATGACAGATCTTTTAACTTCATGGGTCTCCTACTTTTTCTCTATACATGTACTTCCTGCAAGATGATTACGTTTGATCTACATGCAGTAAGAAAAGGTTTTCTGTTTTTATTCTGAATAGGCAAAAAGCATACATCTTAATCTTCGAGAAGAGCTTCCAAACATGGAACTATTGACTTACAGAAAGTCAATTTTTGAAAGAGATCTAAAGATCATTAAGCAGGTTCATCAGGTGTTTGGCACGATGCACAGAGCTTGTAAAAAATCAAAGATAAAAGAAAGACAACTCCTTAACAGTCCACAATCAGAGGTCATTGATGAGTTCCTTTGAGGTTCACAACTAGAGTTTGTTTCACAAACATTATTAAATTCTTCTTGATCAATTGATCAGTCAAAACTATACATGACGCTTTTTATAATTCCTTTGTTTCGACTATTTATTTCTAATTTTTCTTCTCTTTTCTTGTAAGCAGACCAATAATCTATACATGTGTACCAACCTCAATTCCAAAACAAGATTTACACCAAGTTTATTTTTCAAATGTCCGGTAGATAGATTCACTTCCTTTAAAAATTTTAAATAAAAATCCAAATATATGTCAATTTTCATGAATCTTCAAATTCATTTGGCCTTTGCCAATTTATATCCAAGAGGTTTCAGTCGTGTTGAGGAAGAATAATAAAATGCCATTAAAGGTTCTTCAAAGGGTTGTTCTGTAGTTGGGAATGGAACAGAAATCTTCCAACCTTTCAGAAGCAAACAAATCGAAAAATGTATACAAATACCATGTATAAGGGAAATATCACGTATGCCAAATCATAATATTTGACAATTATATCATATAGCTTGATACTTATGTACTTTGTAAGACATTATACTAAGCATCCTGTCTTTTTAGTAATAATTCAATGCGTGAACTCCTGAAATCATGATGCCAGGAGAATAAAAATACCGATATATCAATAAAAAGGTATCTGAAGTTTAGGAATAGGAATTTTCAAAAGACCTAGGAATTGGAATTAATTTAATAGATATTATACAATAAAATTTATAATCATCCATAACATCCAATTTGCCTCACAATAAAATAAAATGAAATAAAATAAAATAAATAAATAAAAGGATAATTCTTTAGTTATACTAGACTTTCACCCGTGCGTGCACGGGTTGGCATTGTTATGAATGCATCCATGTGCATATCGGACATTTACAAAATAGATACATCGACACATTCATATATTGTAAGGTACTTTTGAAATAAACAATGAATGTGAATATAATTTTTTTTTTTGCAAAATTGTTGCGTAATAGTGTAGCGCAGAATGGGTTTGACCCCCCAGTTAGCTATAAATCAAGTCATGAGTTCGAATTATCACGCCGGAGCTTACATAAATTTCACCTTTCCAAACTTTAATAAAAGAAATTATGGATATTTATTGAAAATATGACAACAACAAAGAGTTGAGCACTGCTGATACATATCAAGCAAAGTAATGAAAATGAAGAAATGTGTTTAGCTGGTATTTTTACACAATTAGTTATTAAACTAAAGGTGTAAAAAGTAAAAAATTTTGTAACAATTTTAACTCTGCAGGTCTCAACTTGTTCAAAATATGACCTCATACTATATACTGGTATTTTTACACAATTTAGCAGATGTAAAGCAGAACAGATTATCTTGCAAATACCCCCCCCCCCCCAAAAAAAAAAAAACATACTGGTTGTTCAAGAGATCATAATAAAAATTAAGAATATCAAATGTACTTTATATATGATATAAGAAAATGCTCTCATGACTGTCTGTTTTGATAAAAATTAATGTAATTAATTGTAATTAATGAATTAGTAATATTTTGAATCGATTCGATTAAAACAAAAACCTCGGTTTTTGAATAATTTTGATTCGATTTTTGGAAACAAAATGTTTGCTTCAGTTCTGTTTAAACCTGTTATAGTTATTGAAAATTCGAAATAAATATTAACCAATTTGAAAGTTTTTTTCATCTTTTATGATTCAACAAATGTAATGTGTTTTACTTTTTAGCTCACCATTCGAAAGCTCAAGTGAGCTTTTCTGATCACATTTTGTCTGTCGTCAGTCTGTCTAGCTGTCTGTAAACTTTTCACATTTTCGACTTCTTCTCCAAAACCACTAAGTCAATTTCAACCAAACTTGGCACAAAGCAATTCCTTATGTGAAGAGGGTTCAAAATTGTTAAAATGAGTGACCACGCCCTTTACCAAGGGGAGATAATTAAGAAATATTGAAATTTTTTGGTAAATCTTTAAAAATATTCTTCTCAAGAACTATTTGACCAGGGAAGTTGAAACTTATGTTGAAGCATCCTCAGGTAGTGTAGATTCTAAATTGTTAAAATCATGACCCCCAGGGATAGTATGGGGCCTCAATGGGGGTTGAAATTTTACATAGTAGTATGTAGGGAAAATCTTTAAAAATCTGTTTCTCAAGAACCTTTTGGCCAGGAATGTTGAAACTTACGTGGAAGCATTCTCAATTTCCTTTAAATCTTATCATGACCTTTCATGACCCCTGGGGGTACGGTGGGGCCACAATGTGGGAGGGGTATCCATGGGAATATTTATAGGAATTTTTTTTAATGAATTTTCTTTTCCAAAACTACTTGACCAGAGAGGTTTTCTGAAATGTAACCACAACCACAATGGGAGAGGGGGGAACAGAATATTTACTGTAAATTTTACATATGAAAATCTTTGGAGAAAAATCTCAAAGTTAGAATATGTATCAAAAACTCAATATAAAAAACTAAATTTGTACAGATATTTCTGATCTGTTAAGGCTGTTTGGTTTGGAGTATTTGACCATAGTTGCTCAGTTGAGCGGTGTGGCCCATGGGCCTCTTGTTTATACTAAGTATAAAATATATGGGAAACATGAATTATCATTATCTTAGATAAGCCAAGCAAGGGTATCCTAAGTAGGAAAGTAGGAATTGGAAGGTACATCTTGCTGCAATAATGAAGCCTTTTCCTGGGGGGTGGGGTACAACTCATTTTGGATCATACAATATCATTTCCATTTTTTAATTGAAATCATACAATGTAATCAGGAACATTTTAAAATAAATGTTTCTAATGTTATTATTCAGAGCATAAATTTTTCCAAAATATTTAGTAAAGTCTGAGTTTACCGCAAACTTTAAAGCTTACTGACCTTTACCGATTTTATTTTGGGACAGCCAATGAGAATTTGGGAGCGGATCTTGAACTGAATATGGGAATTTTTCTTACTTCATACGTAAATAATGCAGCAAAAATAAAATAAATACCTCATAAACATTTATATATGTGTTTAGTGATAACAAAAATTAATCTACTGCAGTATTAAACGTCATTACATCACATGAGAACTGTCATGGCTGCTGAAGAAGACAACTTGTTTTCACGCTGGTGTATTTTTTCTTGTGGCGATTTAATAAAACATAAGTTTGTTTGCTACGATTAAATATAATTCATTCCATCATTGAATAAATATTTTTACGATCTTAATTTTGTCCCACCTCATAGTTTTGAGGTTTACTATGCATGGATTAAATTTTACAAACAATCGGTATTTTAGCAGCATTGATAGAATGAACTGTACGGGCCGCAAGGGCTGACTTAATTCAGACTTCCTATCAAGCGTAGTTACCACGACAACCTTTATATATTTAGAAGAACAGGCTGTCCCTTCTATATAACGTACCGAAGTTCAATAACAATAATTTACATATTTCACCCACTTTTTTTTTAAAGTTAAAGAAATTTTTGGAGGTGAAGTTATAAATCTCAGCAGTGAAGGTAATAGTAAACATGGCGAACAAATTCAAGTTGCAATCATTTAGACACATTTCAAATTGAAAATATCGGTTATATTGACGTTATTTAATTATTTCGATTTATTTCAAAGTTAAGAAATGAAAATAATGTTATTGTAATTTTTGGCGGAAAAAGAATACCTACTTCACTAAGATGTGATTCTAGCTGGAGTTGTAACCCCCCCCCCCCATTTACCCTCAAAAAAGCATAAAAGAAAGGAAGGATAAAATAAAATCGGGTAGTTACATTAATATTGCTCCTACTATCATGAGCTTTTTGCCTCCGTTGAGATGACCAGAGACATAAATAACATATAATAAATGTGTCTTCGAGATGGCAAATGATAACCCACGTGGCCACAATATCACACTTGCATGGATAAACTTAGAAACGATAATACAAATACGTGTAAATTTTCATTGGAAATTTGCTATATATTTTGTTCATATATATTTATGATTTCTTATTAGAGAAAATTATAAAACAACAAATATATATCTACTTAGTACAAATTACTTTTGTCTTCTCTGATTTGAACACCGTGATTTAGCGTGAATGTAATACGCACGCGCAAGATTGTAAAATCCAAAAAATCCAGATGATTTCCGGAATTTTCTGAGGAATTTTCGTTGATTATTAATTAGCGAAGCTTAATAGAGAAAAAATAAAAACAAATTGATAATCTTCAAGTACCAATGATGTTTAAAATATATAAAACAAACGACAGTACTCCTCCGATTTATCGGTATTAAAGGCCAAAAATTCGAGTCTATTATTTTAATATAGTAGTATAGATACTTCAAGTCGTTTTCTTTGTAGAGCAAAAGAGCAGAACACATTCAAGATGCAGTTCAATTAATTTCACTAAAAAGGCTTACATAAACACATCAGGCTTACATAAATACATCGTAATTTCAAACACTTCAATTGACTGTACCTGTATTTCTTACCACTTGAGTCATTTTCGCTCTGAAGAGCTTTTTTCTCTCTCACTCCAAATGCGTCCAAATGAATCTGTTCTTTTTTGCTAACTACAGGAGTTGTCTTTCCTTGTAAATTAATTTTTCCTCCATATTAAAATTCATAGTTGACCACAAACATATTTAAAGAGTCCCTTTTCGATGTAATAAAACAGTAAATGTTCTAGTTTGATGTATGACGATCATTAAAATAAGAAGTATAACTACTTGTAATTTAATTAATGCAGAAAGATTGACTGCGCCCATTAATTAAAAATGAGACTTTGCTAATTAGAATTTGTCATATTTCAAATCACTCCTCTGTTTTCTATTCAAAGGTTAAAATCATATCAAGTAACTACTAGAACATGTGTTATGAGGCAGCAGAACTTAGACATATGGCGTGAAGGAATCTTCATATATTTATATGATGCTTTATGATTTCTTTGTCATGGCTGTACGCCATAACAACAAGGGCATTTAGGTAACAGCTAGATTATGAAAGATGTTATTCTTTTCATTTTAATTTTGTTGCAATATTTTTCTTATGCTTTTTGTTTTTTTTTTATTCAATTATGTTCATGAGAGATAGCTTCGTATGGTTAAGATATGGATTAAAAGACAAATAAATTTATGTGCAAAGGGACATGCTTTAAGATAAATGTGTTCTGTAATTAGTGAAGATATAAATACAAGGGAAATAGTTTTGATTTGAACATATTTTATTGTAATAATACATACAAAAGGATTGGATACAAGTTCTTTCAACTTAATAAATCCTCTCCTTATTATACAAACAATGAATACAATATATGATTGTCATAATAAATAAATTGAGATAATTTACGAAAATTTATGTTGTACATGTAATATATATGAAAATTATAAAGACACATACTCAGAGTAATCTACCAGAGCTCTAATGTTACATATACACTGATTACAATGTTTATTGTACAAGAAGCTTTCATATTTGATAAAACATTTAAAATTTTCATTCTGCATATACATATTGAAATCAAAGACACTGTTTTGAATTAGAATCTATCTGATTCTCGAATAAATTTCTGGACACTACAGAAAATTTTAATATTTACATCAGTAGACAAAGATTCGTTTCCGCACAATAAAAAATGAGTATCTATTATATTTTGCTGGTTAAGTTGAAGAATAGTGTTTATTAAGTCCTTTCTTGGACGTTCATATTTCTTGCATACAAGGAAAAAATGATAAATGTCTTCAGTTTGGCCGCAAGTACATTTGGGGGAAGAAATTATATTTCTCCGATACAAGTCGCTATTTAAGATACAGTTGTGTCTTAATTTAGTGTGAATTATATTCCAAAAACGTTTTCCATATGAAAAATAAGAGGGAGGTTTAGAGGATGGTGTACAAATACTTTTCTTAAATTGATTGATGGACTTTAATTCCCTCACTCCCAGATTGAGAGAATTCCAGTTGTTAATTACGTCTGGGACAAAGGATTTTTTAAAGATTTCAAGTCTACATTTCGGAATTGTGTAGTTTTCTGTATTACGAGTATTGTATGATGAAATGTTCCCTCGAGTATTTGGAAAAATCTCTTTTAAGTAATCAGGGACAGTGTTATTATGTATTTTAAACATTGTAGTTAATTTAGCTTTATTCCTTCTCTCTACAAGAGGTTCCCATCCCGTTTCTGAATAGAGCGATTCACTAGATACAAAAATGGGGAGACCTGTAATGATTCGTGCGGCAGTAAGCTGAACTTTTTCTAATTTTTCAATATCATATTGTGTACATCCATCCCAGACAACGGATGCATATTCAAGGTGAGGCCTAACAAAAGCTATGTACATTTTAGAAAGTGTGTTACGTCCAAGGGTGAATTTGAGTTTTTTCAAAAGACCAAGTTTTTTATATGCAGTATTTACTATGCTATTAATATATTCTGACCAACTTAAATCTTGTGAAAAAAGTAGACCAAGATGTTTATGCGTGGATACACACTGTATTTGACATTGTTGAAAATATAGTTTTGGAAGCTCAAATTTTTTTTAAGTGTAAAGAATATAGCTTTAGTTTTTGAGGGATTAAATTTTAGTAACCATTTTTTAGACCATTCATCTAAAACTTCTAGATCGTGATTAATATTATATTCTATGTTAGCAACATTTGACGAAGAACTTTGTATAGAATTGTCATCTGCAAATAATCTACAAAGTGATAACATGTTTTCTGAAACATCATTTATGTATATTAGAAATAACAAAGGACCAAGGACTGAGCCTTGGGGTACCCCGGCATTAATAGCCTTGCTAGAAGACAAAGTATCTTTGTACATAACTTTTTGAGTACGATTGTTCAGGTAACTTTGAAACCATTCAAAAAGATTGCCCGAAATTCCATACGTGTGTAGTTTAAAAAGAAGACCCTTGTGCCATACTCTATCGAAAGCCTTTGATAAATCACAAAATATCATACAACATGATTTTCCCTCATCAATACTTTTAGCAATACTGTGGTATGTTTCTAGCAATTGATAAACGGTTGAGTGACCAGGTAGAAAACCTGCCTGGTATTTGTAGAACAAATCATTTGTATGAAAATAATTATACACATGCTTAAAAATTATTCTTTCCATAATTTTACTTACGCAGCTCAGTAATGATACTGGTCTATAATTTGATGTTAAAGACGGGTCGTCTTTTTTGAAAAGAGGCAGTACATGAGCTAGTTTCCAGTGGTATGGGAAAACTTTTTCTTTTAGAGACCTGTTAAATAGTTTACATAATGGTTTTGAAATAGTCTGGATTGTTGCTTTCAACATTTTATGACTTATGCAATCTGGTCCTATAGCTTTGTTTACCGGAAGTATGGATATTATATCAATTATTTCCTGTTCTTGAATCACAATATCACTTAGCCTATCATTACATAATGAATATTTTTTCGGTAATTCATTGCCATTGTCATCTATATTAGAAATAGACGAGAAATAGTTGTTTAGTATTTCAACCTTTTCTAGATCAGAAAATGCTGTTGCATTATTTCCACTTTCGGATATATAGTGAATGGGCGGTATATCTGATGAAAGTTTAGTGCAGAAAGCTTCTTTCATTAGCTTCCAGTATAATTTGTTGTTATTTTTATTTGCATCGTTGATTTGTATATCAATATTGTCATAGTAGTTTGACAGCGCATGCTTTTTCATATTATTAACTTTATTCCTAATTTTACGATAGTTAGCCCAGTCAGAGTCATTTTTAGTTTTCAACGCTTTATTTCGCAATCTATTTCGTATTCTAATAAATTTTCTTAATAGGGAATCAAACCAAGGTTTGTCTTTAGGTCTTATAGTAATTGTTTGTTCGGGTATGCATTCACTAACATATGACAAACATTTTGAAGAAAAAAGCTCAGTAGCGGAGTTTATGTTTTCTGCATTACAGATTAGCTCATCCCAATCACAAGATTCAATTAAATTATTTAATTTTTCAATGTCTGCATTTTTATACTGCCATATTTTACGTTTATATGCACGATTAAGATTGTAGTTTTGTGAAATTGATATGTAGGTTGCTTTGTGATCACTTATAAAGGAGTCTATATATAGAACACCTGAATCGTTTGCTTCAATGTTTTGTGTTGTTAAAATGGGGTCAATAAGTGTTCGCGTGGTATTCGTGACTCTCGTTGGTTCATGGATTCTATTTGTGAGGTTATTGTTGTTGATGATGTCGTATATATGGTGTGAAGGAGGAATGTTTAAAAAATCTGTGTTTATGTCACCAACAATTATTATTCGATTGGATAATTCGACTGCTTTATCTATGGACCAGGAAAAATTTCTCCAGAAAACATTTTCAATGTGTGGTGGGCGGTATATACAGCACAGAAGATAGTTAGAGGTAGGGTTTTCTATTTCAATCCATATACTTTCAATATTTGTAGGTTCTAAATCTACCCGACGACGGGCAGAAATAGCATTTGATAGATAAATCATCACACCGCCCCCAAATGAATTCCTGTCTTTGCGAATAATACAGTTAAATCCTTCGATATGAAGATCATCATTTAGTATACTATTGTCTAAATGAGTTTCAGTGAAACAGGCGATATCAAAATCATGAATAATTGTATTTAAATAATCTATCTTGTTTCTTATGCTTCTAATGTTTAAGTGAAAAATGTCGAGGACACTCTCATGAGTGGGACCAGGGTTGATCTCGATATCACCAGACAACAATAAAGTAAAAGTAAAAAATTGAAAGAAAAAGTTTACACACATCGATATTCTAATAAAACTCTTTAAATCCCATGACAAATGTTTTTTGAAGAATTTACGGGCGTATTCCGATAACTGTACAAAACTAAAGAAAACAAACATTGAAGATGTATAAATACCTCTACATGCAAGGTAGAAATTTCCTATTGCGGCACGATGTTGCATAACCGTATTACCCATTGTCCGTGACTGTATTTATGCAAAATAAAAAGTAATTGATGTTTTGGTCGCACATAGGAAAGTATATATGTGTCAAATAGAAATACAAGGGAAAAGATTGTTGGAAAATAGATTGACAATCACACTTTTTTGTTTTAACATAAAAAAAGAAACGATGTAACAAAAAAGAAGCAAACAATGCAAATGCTAGAAATATACAAAAATAAGTGACTTTAGTGAAAATTAAAGACAAGTAATATATGTACAAAAGAGAATAAAGGGTTTGAAACCGAAACACGGTTATGGTGTAGTTTAGAATGATAAACAAGTTAAGCAAACAGAGTCTTACTAGGCAGATTGCCATAGAGAAAGTGTTTATGCGCACAATTCTGCTAGATGATTATGATTTATGAATGAAGAAAATAGACGATATTACATCTGGTAAATTTATTTTACATGTTGGATCAAATGGTCAGCCGTTTAAATTCTCACCATGGGGCGTACCTTGATTTCCGGAAAGAGAGCTGGTTGATGCTCCTGCAGAGGTGGCCTTAACCACTGATGAATATAACCCCTCCTGTGTGTCGTCCTCAGCCTCATCTATCGTCTCCCTTGCCTGAGTGTTTGTAACTATAAGACGGTCCAAATCAGTTATGTTTTTAATAACGGCCTTTTTGTCATTGTTTTTCTTAATATAGATTTTTCCGTCGTGTGTCCAACAACCTTTA